ATTGAAAAGGCTTAAGATGGTCTTGAATTGGTGGAACCATAATGTTTTCAAAAACTTTTTTTCTAACATTTTGCTTGCTGAAAACAATATTAACTCCCTGGAAGAGTTGTGTCAAATGGATTCTTCTGAGGCCAATTTGGGGTTTCTCAATGAGGCCAAAGTGAATCTGGCTAAGCTTCAAATTCAGGAAGAAACGTTTTGGAAACAAAAAGCTGCTGTCAAACACTTAGTGGAGGGTAATAAGAATACTAAATATTTTCATGGGTTGGTGAATAGGAAACGTTCTATTAATAGTATTCATAAAATTTCTCATGATGATGGTTCTGTGTCTGATAACTGAGAAGAGATTGCTAGTATGGCTGTTAACTATTTTCAAAAGCATTTGAATAAGTCTTTTAACCCTGTGTCTATTGATAATTCTACCTTTATCCCTAATATCATTTCTCATGAGGATAATTGTTCTCTATCTACTCCCCCGAGTCTTGAGGAGATTAAGACTGCCCTTTTTGAGATGAATGTTGATTATGTAGCAGGGCCGGATGCGTATACTGTTAAGTTCTTCCAAAACACATGGCATATTATTTTTAATGATGGTTTCACTATTGTTTCTGATTTTTTTAATGGTACCCCGATTCCCAAATTTTTTACTTCCACTTCTATTGTTTTAATTCCTAAGAATACTGATGTTAATTCTTGGAATGATTTTAGACCTATTATTTTGTGTACTATTTTTTATAAGCTTATTTCTAAAATTTTGATGAGTACATTAACTATTTTGTTGCCTAAGATTATTTCTCCTTATCAAATGAGTTTTGTTAAAGGTCGTGCTATTATTCATAATATTCTTTTAGCTCAGGAGCTTTGTCAGGACTTGGATGCCAAGGTTAGAGGTGGTAACATGATTATGAAGTTGGATATTGCTAAGGCTTATGACAATATCAATTGGAGTTTTATTTATAACATGCTTGGTCTTTTTGGCCTTGATAGCAAGTTCATTAAACTTATTAAGTCTTGTATTGAAAGTCCTTTCTTTTCTATCATTATCAATGGTAAGAGTCATGGGTACTTTCAGGCTTCCCATGGGCTAAGGAAAGGGGACCCCTTGTCGCCTGCAATTTTTATTATTGCTGCGGATTTCCTATCTAGGGGTTTGACCAATTTGTTTTCTAACTATCCTAGTCTCTACTTTAAAACTTTGGGTGGTGTTCACATTTCGCATTTATGTTTTGCGGACGATTTTATTATCTTTTCCAATGCTGCTAAGAATAAAATTACTAAAAATTTTAGGCTTTTTGGCCTTTTTGAATCAGTGAGTGGTTTGTCCTTCAATAAACAAAAATATTGTTTTATCGTTTCTAAAAATGTGTTACCTAACCGCATTTTGAACATTAGGAACTACATTGGGTTTTCTCAAGCTGTTCTTCCTATTAGTTATTTGAGGATCTCGCTCTTTAAGGGTAGGAAAAGATCGTTTCTGTTTGATGGTTTGATTTCCAAAATTCAGCATTGCTTGTTTTCTTAGAATTCAAATTTCCTTAGTTTTGGTGGTCGTCTCACCCATATTAAGAGTGTGCTTTGTTCTCTTCCTATTTATAGTTTTCAAACGATTTTTCCTACTAAAGAGGGTTTTATTGGAATCGATAGGATGTTAAATAAATTCTTTTGGCAAGGTTCGGGTAATAATGCTAAGATTCATTGGAGGAATTGGGGTGATTGTTGTGGTACTAAACAGGAAGGTGGGTTAGGTTGTAAAGATATGTTTGATACGGCCTGTGCTTTTTCTTTTAAGCTTTGGTTTAATTTCAGGGCTAATGATTCTCTTTGGGCTACTTTTATGAGGTCTAAATATTGTGTGGTAGACACCCATCTCTATATTACTTTACTAGGGGCAATTCTAAAGTCTGGCATCGTATGTGCTCTATTAAATGGAAGGTGGAGGCTTCTATTAGGTGGGGTCTTAGTAATGGTAAGATTTTCTGTTTCTTAATTAAAGGTTAATTTTTTCTTCAATGCTAATGGTTGGGATGTTGTGATGTTGGCTACTATTTTAACTTATAGTATTATTCAACTTATTTTAAAAGTTCCAATGAATAGCAATGTTAAGGATGTGATACTTTTTGAGGGTTCTATAGATGGTTCTTTCAGTATTATGCAGGTTTGACATACTTTTAGACTCAAAAAGGTGGCTTCTAAGTTGTTTTCTTTGATTTGGCACAATTCTATCCCTTTTACTATTTCTGTTTTTTTGTGGAGGATTCTTCACAACTACATTCCTACTGATGATAATTTGAGGAAGAGGGGTTTTATCATAACTTCCAAATTTCAATGATGTTTTCATGTTGATAATATGCATCATGTTTTTATTTCCAGCCCTATTGCGATCAAAGTTTGGACATTTTTTGAAGATTTATTTCATCTTAACTTTTTTGTTAGTTCGAATGTTATCTCTAATTTGTTGGACCTTTGGTTTGTTAGATCTAAGGGTCATATTATGAATGTGATTTCTTCCCTCATTTGTTGGTATATTTGGTTGGGTAGAAATGATTCTCGGTTTAATGGTTGCCCTATGAACCATCAGAGCATTATTTTATAAATTAAAGATAAGGTTTTGTCTCTGTATTCCTCCAATTTGATTGTGTTAAATAACTTTAGGAATTATTATTTTACACTTTCTTTATTTGGGATTAATGAGAAGGAGGTTACGGGTAATGTTAGAATATCTTCTTGTATGTGGTGCAAGCCTCTTCCTAATTGCTTTAAAGTTAATGTGGCTTGGGCCAAAGTTAATGGTAATTTTGGTTATGGTGGGATCAGGAATCATTTTGGTAGTTGTATTTTTTCTTTTACTAGGCCGGCTAATGCCATGGATAGTTACATTGCTATGTTTAAGGGGATTTTGCATGGGTTAAATATCTGTGGTAATTTAAACTTGAAGTCATTATTTTGGAGGTGGATTCTTTATATGACAGCCTCTTATGTCTTTATAAGGATGTTAATACTTGTATTCCTTCGCAGTTTTACATCCGGCGCATCATTAACGAGAAGTTGAGATCCTTTGTGAGTTCTTCTTCTCTTATTGAGGTGGAGGGTAATGTTGTTGCAAATAATGTGGAAATTTTGGGCACTTTGCTTAAGTATTCTAATGATTTTACCTTTGCCCAGTTGCCCGTCCACATTATGGGCCTCATCAATTTAGATCAAAGTGGTTATCCTTTTGTGTGTCTTTAAGTTTGGGGGGGGGTTGGCGCTGTTCTTGGTTTCATTTTGCCTGTTTGGGTTTTCTGCTTTCTATGGGGGGCTTTCTTCCTGGCAATCTGTTTTTGAGGCGGTGGACGTTAATTCTAGGGGTTTTTGGCATTATTCTGCTATTGGGTTTTGCTGTTTCGGTCTGGGGATGCTTATTTGGCTTTTGTTCTGTTCTCCTATTTTCTTTTGTTATTTGGTGGTCTCTCAGATCTGTTATTTCACTGGTGGGTTATTTTTTAATTCTTTGGAGGTTTATTGCTTTGAGGTGGTCTGGATTTGCATTGGGCTTTCTGGCTCTGGTGGGGAAACCTGGTGGAGTAGTGATTGTGGTTGGTCATGTGCTGTCTATTTCTGGTATCTGGACGGTTTGTTGCCGGGTTGTTTTGTTCTTAGTATGTTTTGGGCTTTTAAGGTTATTATCTATTATCCTGATTTTGTTCTATCTTTCCTTTCTGATACTTCTTTTTGGAGTTCTGTTAAGGTTCTTATTCTTCATGCTCATATCAATTTTTGGTGTATCCGTGACTTTACGGGGCACTTAGTGTATTTTATCAAGTATATTTCTCTCACCACTTTTTGGAGAATTCCTTGCAGGCTTCTTAATGAGATTCTTTTGATGAGCTTCATGGACCGCAAGGTATTGTTAGTTTGTTTTTCGTTTCTCTATTTCCGTCATTTTCAGTTATTTTGCAGGAAGAATGTGCTGAAGGGGATTTTACTGCTCTTCCTTTTTTGGCTGCTGTCGCCTCACAGCCCGAGCTATTTCTTAGGTTATTTTTGTAATCTTAGTTTAAGGATCCACCGACTCTTAGGTGTTTTATTTTCTTTTTGGATTGTAGCTCTTTCGAGCATTAGCGAGCTGGAGGAGCCCAAACGAAGCATAATGTAAGTGAGAAAAGGTGAGTTCAATTTACATTTTTTTAAACGCAATTTTGATTTACATTTTCTAAGAAAATATAAATTCAATATGCAATATTGCTCCTATTAAAATTACATTTATAGGTGGCTCCTTTTCCTTATTTTCCCTAAAATTCTAGCCCTATTTAAAAGTTCGCCTATTTATTAGCATATGCTCATTTTTTAACTCATTTTGAATTGGATAGCTCCATCGATCTAGGTTTCGTTTGGTATGATCTTTTTATTGATTCTTAAAAAAAAGATTTAGTGCAAATGAAAAGCAATAAAAAAGTCATCCCAAACTCCTTGTCGTTAAAATCATTAAGGTAAGAAAAATTAGAACAGTTTGCTGCCACTCGACTGCTCAGTTCAATCCTTCGCCCTTACAATGCTTCAGTTTATGAATTTTCTACACCGAGTTAGGTCCTTCACACAGCTGTTCATGCATAGCGTATTACTATGGATTGTTTTTAAATTAACTATAAATTAATTTAGAAATCAAATCTCTAACTTAACTCTAAATCAAGTTTATCAAAATTCAAAATAAAGTAAGAACTCTGACCGACTTCAAAATTATCATAACAATTCAATATTTTTATCTTATCAGAGCAACTCCTGCGGCACAACGTACCACCAGCTTGCCCATTATCTCCTCGTTTCCAAGTATAACTAACTACACCATTCTGCCATTACGCACGACTTCCAAAGCATAATTGACGGCCGATCCAAAGCCTCGCACCAAACTCCCATGTGGCCCCACTCTCACATGATCCTCCCACAGGGGCTTCCAAAGTTAGTTTTTTTTCCCGCACCTTGTTCGTCTCTCTCTCTTTCTCTCTCTCTCTCTCCAAAATTATTAGGCTTTTGATATTTTTCCTTATCCCTCTATCAGATACCATAAATCCTTGAGGCAATAGGTGGATTATAATTGGCGATTTTTCATTTCTGTTATCTTTGGATTAAACTTCAAGAAGAAGCCAAAAAAGACCATTAAGACAAGTAAGGTAGAGGAAGAGAGAGAATTGGGAGCAGTAAGGTAGAGGAAGAGTGAACGGAAGAACCGAGATGAAGCTGGAAGCAATCGTTGTGACGACATTGTTGATGATGGCAATAATGGCAGAAGGTGGAGACGTATCATATGATGGCAGGGCACTTTTGATTGATGGAACAAGGAGAATTCTTTTTTCTGGATCAATTCATTATCCTCGAAGCACTCCTGATGTAAGTCTATTCATCTCTCTCTCTCTCTTTTTCAATTTTTAGTGAATTTATGATAGTAAATTAAAATCATAGATATAAAATCTTGAGCAACAGTTGACATATTGACAACTTAAACTTTGAACAAATAAATTATGATGTGCTTCATCTCACTTTCTTGCTCTTTCTCTCTCTATTTCTGTCGAAAATTGTGATTCTAATTGATTAGTAATGGACGATTTGTTTTGGCTTTTTCTCTTTCTGTGGATGATTTTTTTGCTCGTGCAGTTTTTTAATCTCTTTTATGTTTTTTCTACTCGGGCTTATATCTTCTGATGTGTCGTATATTTATTTGGGCAGTTAACTTTTCTATTTGGCTCTTATGAGCTTGCTCCTTCAACTTTTGTGGGGCTTTTAGTATTATATGATACACTTGTAATCTTCTTTGATTAACATACGTGCTTCGCACAAATTTTTCCCCAAAAAAAAAAAAAAAAAACGAAATTGGTAATGTTTGAAGAGTTTTTATATTATTTTTTTCCTCTAAAAAAATAAGAAATATATTTTGCTTCTATATATATCCGAATTAAATAAATAAAAAATAATGTTGCTTCTCTGATAAAATTATATAAAATTGTTTAATTTAAGTGAATTACTTAAATTGGGAATAGCACTGCAAATGAACAGAGCATTCGATAAGCTACTCGTGGCTCGGCTCGATAAGAGCTTGTTTATATTCATTTGATAAGGTAAATGAACAAGCTTGAATAACTTTGACAATACTTGATAACTAAACAAACTTGAACAACCTAACGTTAGGCTCGTTTATGTTCAGGAACAAGATCATTCAGAGTTCATGAATATGATCATTAAGAATATAATTTTTTTTTTTCCCTCTCATGGGGCCTACGCGTTTATAAAATAAAAAGGTTACAAAAGTCCTTAGAAGGATCAAAAGAGATTACAAAAGTCCAGCTCTCTAATGCTCAAAAGAGCAACAGTCAAAAAGGAGAAAATAAACCCTAAGAGCCGGTGGATTCTTTTCCTACTATTACAAAAATAATAATCAAGATAGTAAGGGCTGTGAGTCAACAGCACCCAAAAAAGAAAGCGAGCAAGGTCATCAGTCAGCTCCAGCTTCCTGCAAAAAGACATAAAACCATCCAAAAAACCAAAAGAGATTACCTTACAGCTTTTGACGCGAAGATCCTAGTTAATGATATTGATCCTGCAAAGAAATCTCCAAAAAATTTTGTCATACATGAAAAGGGAAATCCTTAAGCCATTCATCGCAAAATCACAATCCCAGCAAAGCTGATTATCCATAGCAGTATAGATTTCAGTTGAACTAAAAAGATAAAAATACCTTCTCTTATCAAAACAATAAACCTGTAATAAAAGGGTATAACTCCACTTATCAAAATAATAAACCTGCTTATACCTCCTAACAAAATTCATCATCAAATACCTGGCAAGGCCAACAAAACCGAGGGAAAAATAAACAACCCATAAACCATAAACCCAAAAGCAGAACCTCACAGCCGAATAGAGCCCAGGCAAACCAGCCCCACCCAGCACTCTCAAACCCACCGCCAACCATCCGCTGAGAG